TTCAAACATTTACGATGAATATAATCCTATTTCATTTGATTTACGTGGGATAGAATAGTCAAGAAATAAGAAAGCTCCTAAGATCGATCTCGATTTTTTTATATATAAGTTAAGTTAAGGTGAAACTCAGCATATTAAAAGAAAACAAGTCGAAAGTAGACATAGGAAATGACCTCAGAAGGTATAATTAGAAGTGTCGGAAACGGAGGAAACGAAGATTTCGTTTAAACGGATCATGAAAGGAAAAAAGAAAAGCCCGACCACTTTTCTTCTGAGCGCATACAGACCCGCGTCTTATGTTTTACGCCGGAAAGTTTCTTTTCTAGCGGATCTCGACATTATTCATTCTCGTTTATAGCCTTAACTAACTGTTTTGCGGCCCGGTCTGAATTGGATCAAGAAAATCATAGGTAAACAAATAGTTCATAGTATAACTTTCTTCGATTTTCGAAAGATCGATAAAGAAAGAGAAAAATCTTTTGATGAATTTTGAATGATTTTCCGAGGAAATCGAAAGTATTTCGATATGATCATTAACTGAATTAAGTGGCACGATGATTGCCACGAGGTCGAGCGTAAAATTTGTCAAAGGCCCTTGACATCGTCAACATGAGTACCACATAAGAGAGAGTGCGCGCGTACAATAATTCATATTTGATCGTTTTGCATCGCCGATTGTATTGGTGTTTATCGAAAATTTGTTTCATCTTCTTTATTCATTTTATTACAAATTTACCCATAAATGAGAATATTATTGCATGACCTACATCGTCCAATACATTACACGTATCGTATGATCGATACTAAGTATGTTTTAATAATTTAGATCGTAAAAATATATCATTGTTTTCATTTAATTTAAGAAAGAATCTGACGGTAAATCCGAAGATTTTAATCTATCTCGGTTGACTGGGACATCGTCTTAAAATGTTCCTTTAATTCGAAATTTTTAAGTTGGGTCATTTGACTTTTGTTGATGTTTCAACGAATAGATTTTTTCTCAGAGAAAAAGAAAGAAAGAGACAGAGAGAGAGAGAGAGAGAGAGAGAGAGAGAGAGAGAGAGAGAGAGAGTGAGAGTTAACGATATTGTATAGCCGGTACGATCAGAACCGAAAAATCAAAATTTTCAACGTTTATTAACGAAGGAGTTATGTGTTGAAATAATTTATATTTATTCCAATTTTATGCACCCTTTCAGTCATTTACCCACACCATAAAAATATTGGATATTCACGAACGTATATAAATATTTCATATACATAATATGGTACGATCCAGATATATAAATAAATGTTAAGATATACAAATAAGAGGAAGAAGCGATTCGATACGTAAGGATAAAAAGAACTAGATATGAAATAATCACTGCAATAAGAACGATTACACGTTAATTACGCTATAGTACTCTTATGACGGATTAATTGTACATCATAACGTGTGCTCGAAAAATATTTTTCTTACTGTACGAAACTTAGTATATATTTCTCCAGTCTAATGTCACATTATAAATAACAATACGATGAAATGTATGAGAAAATTCAAACTAGCCTGGCAATTAGCTATAAATTCTCTGATTTGTAGCACGGTTTAATGAAACTGATTCGGTCTATAATCTGTCTTCCAAAGATTTCGAAGCAGAGTAGGGAAGCCGATTAATTTATACGTCCTAATGGTTATCGCACTCATGATCGGCCATGGACGATGTTGGAGTTATAACAGAATTCGAGAACATTTGAATTTGAGAACATGAATGAGAGAGAAAGAGAAAGAGAAAGAGAAAGAGAAAGAGAAAGAGAGAGAGAGGGAAAGAGAGAGAGAGAGGGAAAGAGTGAGAGAGAGAGAAAGAGAGAGAGTGAAAGAGAGAGAGAGAGTGAAAAGAGAGTCGTTTATAAAGGGTAGTGAAGGTGGTAGTGAACCATCTGGTAGGGGGAACTAGAGAGGAGGATGTTCCCGTATCTTGTTGTAAGGACAGAGCCGAAAGGAAGGAGTTTGTAACTAGTTTCTCCGTCAGACCATAGTGCATGTCCTCCGAACGAGAACAATGCCGATACACGTATACATACCCACCACTAATACATGTTCGCTGTCTTTTGAAGAGAGGCCTGCATGTTGGACCGCCGAGTTACGACGATATCCTGAACTTAACTGAAAGAAAGTTTTACAACAGTGGGATGGAGTATCAGGACGATGAGGAGGATAGAAATATAGAGAAAGTGCTAGAAAGACAGAGAGAGATAGATGACGAGAGAATCGACTTACAAATATCTAATGTTGACACGATGCCTGTATTTGTTGCTGGTTATAGCTGCATTTTGAAAGAAATAGAGATAAAGGGAAGAGACTGGTTGAAGAATGATCAGAATGAGAGATAAGAGAGAGAGATAAAAGAGGGAAAGAGAGAGAGAGAGAAAGAGAGAAAGAGAGAAAGAGAGGGAGAGAGAGAGAGAGAGAGAAAGAGAGAAAGAGAGAAAGAGAGAAAGAATCTTGATCGTTAAACTGTTCGATCGCAAAAATTGAAGTCTTGAGATACTTAGAGATAAAAGAAGAAGCTTGGCCTAAGTTTTTTTTTCACGATTTTGAAGATAACTTTTAACTATTACTGCAAAATAAATGTAATATCTCAGAGAGATTTAATTGAATATACAAGCAAAAATATCAGCAGGATAATAATTTTTCTATTCTTTTGCAAGAATTTTAAAATAATTTAAAAAACTTATTTGACTTATCGGAAAAAAGAGTGAGAAGTAGGAAAGAAATATGAGAGATCTCTTTCTTTCAAAAAGTGAAACGTTGTCGAGGAGAATTAGCAATTTGGATTTTCGGGATAACTTTGGACGATCTTCTTTTCGTGCATCGTACCGACATCTAACTCGTCTACTTTTGATAAGAGTTCGGATATCTTTGCAAAGGAAAATGACGCTTGGTACCTAGGAAAAACGTTGAGAGATAGAGGGATTGCTAGGAGTTTTTTAATAAGTAGGAAGTTTTCATGATTTTCGACTTCCTTTCTTCTCTCTTTCTCTCCCTCTTCAATTTTCTTTTTCTAGGATAAAGGAAAGCAATGTTTCATTGTTTGATAGAAATTTAATAAGTAAGCAAGCAAACATATAAGTGGACTTAGCAGCTAGACATCTGAATCGAACTAACTTTGAACTGTTTAACATCATGATATATTGGAAAATATAAGTGAAATTATTATTACTTAGATTTTACGCATTAGCCCGACTTCTATGATAATATGAAAAGACGTTACCTCGATGTAATTTGAATATCAAAGTTTCGCAAGTAAGAAGAACAAGTAAGTATGTGTAATAAATAGAGCAAGGCCCTGAGGTTAGCTGCTATCAGAATTTATTGTAAGAATACGAAATAAGTGATCGTGTCGATGCAATGTAAAAATTGAAAATTTCGTCGATACCAAAGTAAGAAAAAGACAAGAATGAATAATACAATTCGAAAGTTTTATCGTAAGAGTGAGAAGCGTAAAGAATGAAATAATGTTCTGAAAGGAATTAAAGCTTCTTTCGACATTAAATCGGGTAGAATGTTTCGCCGAATGAAATATTTGTCTGAGTGTGAGAGGTTGAGTTTGAAAGGATACAAAGGGAAAACTCGACGGTGAAACACTTTTTATTGCTCATTTTCGAAGCAACCTAAAACTACTATATAAGAACTGGAGATGGTAATGCTAGTAATGGTGGGAGTTTAGTGTTGGGAGGGAATATCTTTCAATGCCATCGGATTCCATTATACCATTCTGATGTTCTCGGCCGGTCAGTGCAACTTGACGAATGAAATACCAGAGCTAAAAAAATGAATAATGATGTCTCCGACAAGATAAGAAGCTAGTCGAAGTAGATAATTCGTTGTTTCGCTTCTTTCATTCCTGTTCGCTATAATATCGTTTCAAGATAATAGCAATTATTTTAATTACTTTTCATCGCGTTGGAATTATCAAGAATGAAGAAAAGAATAGTCGATAGAATCAGAGATATCAAGGAAAGAAGCTTTCTCGAGTATTTCGTACTTGGATTTCGATGTGCACTCGAAATGGTTCTATACGGTTTCACCATTAATACAATACAAAGAACACGCTAATTTACCGAGTAAGCAGGATTCGGTTTTCTACGACTATTAGTAGCGCGGCTTTCTCATTTAATCCTTATTTACTTGCTTTGAGACGCATATTACGAAATTTTGTTATCATCGTCGGTCTATGCGTTCTATTAAAGTGTCATTACATTAAAGCACCATTGAAATGCGAGATATACAATTAAATATTATGAAAAAAAGAGGAATAATCGAAAAAATAAGGTATAACTTACGAAGAAATAATCTATTCTTTTTTTTTCTATGTCCTAGATGGTGTGTCGAGTGCGAGCTCATCCCGCAGCATTTAAAAAACGGATATCATCGTATGTAATAACGTTATCATAAGCGTGCCTATAAACACGATTGGTTCGCGGTATAGCAACACGATGAATTTCCCTTTCCTCTATATAATAGCCGTAGAAGATTTATGTGAGAATCTTCGCGATATGGTTACCAGCAATAAAGATAACCAAGTGAAACAAGTAACAACCATGGTATTATCAGATGTCGGACGTTCCACGCTATTGTTACTGTGAGAAATTGGACCTGATGTTTTCCAAGATACATTATATTTTTCATATGATGTCAATTATCTGAATTTATTATACATAAGAGCATATTTTAGACAGGAAATAGTTGTCTTGTTGATGATTTCACGTTGAATAGAAAGAAGAATGATATGCAACAACAATGTCGATAAAGATCTTTGTTCTACAACAGTATAAATTAAGCACATACTGCAACCATAGAAATAAATAAGTGCTCTAAAAATAATTTCATTTTAAGAGGATGGAAGTAAAATGTAGCTAATAACAGAAAAGAAGAAGATTTCTCTTTGATCCTAAACTATTGGCTGGTATTACGCATTATTATTATTTAGCTGACCGTTGTAGTCCCTAATTCTCACAGAATCTATACTATATAATAAAGACGATTCATCATTTTTCATATTTAATTCGATATTATATCAATTTTCCTTTGATGGAGAGAAGTAACTCAAAAGAGTTATTAAAATGTACGTTTGATATTATTTATTCGTATGGGCAAATATTCCAAAGTCGACTGTCGGCAAACCAAGAGGAGAAGTAATAGAAGAAAAAGAAGAAAAAGAATAGAAAGCAGAAGAGAAGAGAGGTGAGACGTCGCGACGCTTGCGCCACAGCAACAGCAATTCCGTCAGACGGCGCCTCGACGCTAGCAGCGTCGGACGGACGGATCGCTCGCTCTAGACACCCAGTCAGCCTCCACAGAGCTAGCCGGTTCTTCTCTTCTCCCTTTTCCTCCGCTACCTCCTCACCCTCTTGTTCATTTTACTCCCACTTTTTGCACCCTTCGCGTTCGAGAAGCGCGCGCGCACATCTACGTACGTACACACGCGTACACATCTCCCACCACCCTTTTCGATATCCTTGCTCGTAGTGTTAGAGAAAGAGAGAGAGAAAGAGAGAGAGAGAGATAGAAGGAGAGAGAGAGGAAATCACCATCCCCCGAATGACGCGAGAGGGAGTTAGAGTTCCTAGCTTGTCCCCCACAGTTGCAGTGCGTTCCCAACACCCGTGAGACAACCTCGAACTGTCCCGACGTAAGCAACGAAATACACGCACGTACGGATCGACACTCACATTCGCGCACAACAAGAGTCACGAAGAGACTCAATTTTTTCGCGTTCTCATTTACTCTTCCTTGGTCTCTCTCTCTCTCTCTCTTTCTCTCTCTCTTTCTCTCTCTCTCCTCTCTCTCTCTCTCTCTCTCTCTTTTATACTGGCTAATCCAACTATACCTCGAGCTCCCTCTCAAACTTTGAGGGAGGAAAACATTCGACTACAGTTTGAATACGTGACGTTTAACGCTCGAAAGAGAGATTTTTCCTCTCTATATTTTATCTTTCTCTTTCCTCATATCTGCCTTTATATTTTTCTTCGGGATATCTGTTTTTCCTTCTTTTATCTTTTATTCGCCTTTACTCCTTTTACCTTTTCTACCAATTGAACTCGTACGTTTCCTCAGTGCCCAGCGATTTGCCGTATCGTACAAAGCACACAGTCAGTGTATTTTTTGTATAGAAGTATATCGAAAATTTTTCAGAAGAAAGCTGATCGGACTAAAGAATATGAGAGTTCTGCAAGGTGAGATCAGTTTAAAGTGCGCGTTTATTGCAGTATCTGAGCAAGTTTCCTAGCATAGAAAAGTGTTTTTCCTTTGAAAGACAAAAAAGCGAGTTAAGATGGAGTGAGAGAAAGAGAAAGAGAAAGAGAAAGAGAAAGAGAAAGAGAAAGAGAGAGAGAGAGAGAGAGAGAGAAGAAAGAAGATGTAGCCATAAGCTGTAAATCCTGAGTCAGTTTCTTCGGTGGAAAGTTCCTAGAGAACGAATCGGTGGTCAACAAAGAGAATAAAATCACAAGAAGCGATTATTCGATCACGCAAAAGGGATGCTGCGTCATAAGGACAAGAGACACGATCAAAATCGATGGAAGAAAAGATAGCACAGAAGAATATCGTCGTGATCGAAAAGGTGGATCCTGGTGATTATCGTTCTTCGCGGGATTAACGACCTTGAGTGATCTCGTGCTGGTGATAAAAAAAGAGGAACAGGATAAACTCTACGAGGTCGTGAACGTTTTTAAATTCTTTCGAATTTTCTCCATGTTGTATAGATATACACATACATATACATATAGTACAAAGAAGAAAAAGTAAGTAGGAGAAAAAAAAGGACGTTGCTCGTTACGAGGTAATAACTTTGTAATCGCGTAAATAGGTGTACATAGAAAAATTCGACGGGACCGATCGGTTCGATTTATTCATCGTAAAATACTCACGCTGAAAACGATATTACTTTGTAGCGTGAGCAAGAGAGAGAGGAAGAGAGAAAAAGAGACAAAATTATAGTCTCATTCTTTTCGTCTTCCTTCCCATATCACTTCTTTTTCTTCCTTGTCCTTTTCTTCTTGTCTATTTCGTATTTCTGTCGTTTTATCTTATACCAGTAATCGATAGATCTCTACATAAGTATATAACACGCTCGATTAGTATTTCATGTGTGCGTCCATATGTAGGTGACTGTGCATACAATTACTGCGTACACGTATACGCATATGTATATATATTACGAATGTTCTGCTGCCCGTCGAACATATCGTTCGAGAATCGATCGAATTACGGATATTTAGTGTGAAAGTTATTCGAATTTCGAATTGGGATTCGTGTGTTTTTCGTCGTGCATACGCGATCAATAAATAATCTTTCTCGCGGTCTATAATTCTATCCGCACACTTTTTCCGTTATTCAATTTCTTGTTGATCTTCCTTTTACTTTATATATATATATTTATATATATATATAAAGTTATATATATATATTATATATATTATATATATATGTGTATGTGTGTATACAGACACACACACACACACACACAAAGAGACACATACATACATACATACACACACACATATATATATCGAAGCATTTATCTTCCAATATGATTCGGAAAGCAGGTCGGAGCAGTACGGGTATCCAACGCTTAGACTTTAGTCCCCGTGCGATAATTAATTATTAGCTCGCGGACGTCGTTAGTGCGAATCAACGTACAAGTTATTTCAAACGTCGAGACCTTTAAATACGAAGAGCCAAAATTGTGAGAGAGATAGAGAAACACAGTGTTTCGATAAATAATCGGGCTTTCTTGAATCAAAAAAAGTTTTCTCTCTCTCTCTCTCTCTCTCTCTCTCTCTGTCTCTCTCTCTCTCTCTCTCTCTCTCTCTTTTACACGATTCAGTATAGTTCGTGTCAAATATCCATGCCTGGGATTAATTTAAAGGAAAGGTTAGAAAGGGGGACCAATTTTTCACGCGCATTTTAATCCTCTCTTTCTTCTTTCTACTTTTACCATGCGTCTACACATTTGTATAGTTTAATCTTTACCCTCTCGATCCTTTCATACATCCATCCTACTCGCCGGATGTTCATCTCTCTCCTTTTGCTTCTTACTCGCTTTCTTTATCTCTTTATCTCTCTCTCTCTCTCTCTCTCTCTCTCTCTCTCTCTCTCTCTCTCTCTCTCTGTCTCTCATTTTCTATATGAATACATTTTTTTTCGTTCGATCGTATTGATACTGTCATCGTGAGCCAGTGAATTCTGCAGTCGCGATTCACGCAAAGCAATAACTAAAGGGCCAATCTACGATTAAGACAACGACAACGATGATGTAAAAAAACGAAGAGACGCAGAAAGAACAAAAAGAAAAAAGGAAGAAAGGCAGAGAAATGAGGACACTTCGATGCCTTCATTGAGAAACAATTCGCGTCACCGAGCGTCACTTACCGCCCCAGATATTAGCTTCAGAATGAAAGATCTCATAATTCTTATGTAGACGATGGTTCAACGTTTTATTAAATAAAAAATTTAATATCTATAAAAACACAATCTCACGTATTAGGTAATAAATCTGCACTTGAAGTGAAAGACGACGAGTAAAGGAGGAATTTAAAAGGAGAAAGAGAGAAGGGGTGAAGGAGAGAAAGAGAGACTGGTTCGATCTTCGATAAGAATGACAATGTCGAAGCGGGCATGACGGCGCTGACCTCGAGATGCGACGAGACCACCACTCTCTTGCTATTGTTATTACTGGAATTGGCACCTGGTGCAAGCTGTTATCCGCGTTCCTCTATCGGCGCGACATTAGAGGCGTCCTCCAACGACGGTGGTGCGTCGTCCCCCGACGTAAGTTCCTCAACCGCGACGAGATAGCATCCGCAGAGCACGGCGAGGGTGCGAGTGATGATTCCGCCACTTCTTGGGAACATTATGTTTATCGACGACGCCGGTAGCTCGGCAACGGCGTCCACGAACGTCTTCGAGGAGAACATGACGTGGTCTCGTTCGACAATTGCCGGCTCAACGTCTTTTTCTACGATCAGCGAGGCCACCTCGAAAAGCTACGAGGAAACGAGAGAAGAACGAGGGAGGACAGAAACGATCACTCGCCTTACCGATTTTGCTGTCGGTTGGACCGACTGGAACGGCACCGAGCGAATAGAGGAAAGTAGAAGAGAAGGGGAAAAAAACAAGTCGGTGGAAACTTCTAACGATCCAATCAAGGAGATCGGTGAACAGCCGAGAGGAAGAAATCCCCTCGGTTATGCCTGCGAAAGGGAAGATTCTTTGATTTCCAGCGTCTCCGATAGGAGCACTTTTGAGATCTTCACTGGAAGTTCGAGCCTTGGCGTTGATCTTCTCTTTGACGTAACCTCCGACACTATGAAAGATCTTGCCGTCTCTTCCTCCAACGACTCCATCTTCAACGAGAGTCTACAGTATACTTCGAATAAAAGCTATAATAATGAGACCTTGATCGTTTTCGGTGATAGCATGTATCCATCGGGATATACTTTGCCGCACATCATCCTGGCCTCGATCGTGGCTACCCTTTTGATGGTAGTAATCGTCGTTGGTAACATGCTTGTAATAATTGCGATTATGACGGAGAAAGCACTGAAGAATATTCAGAACTGGTTCATCGCTAGTCTCGCTGTCGCAGACTTCTTCCTGGGTCTCATCATAATGCCATTCTCATTAGCGAACGAGATCATGGGTTATTGGATCTTTGGCTATTGGTGGTGCGATATATACTCAGCGATGGATGTGTTACTCTGCACGGCCAGCATCATGAATCTCTGTCTCATAAGTCTCGATAGGTTCTGGAGCATTACTCAGGCAGTGGATTACTTGAAGAAAAGAACACCGGCTAGGGCGGCACTTATGATCGCCCTCGTCTGGCTACTATCCGCTCTCGTTTGTATACCGCCATTGCTTGGCTGGAAGAGGCCAACACCGGAAGAGGATTATCCCAAATGCAAGGTGAGTAATTTTTTTTTAATACCTTAAAATCAGAATAGGGATGTTTTCATGTCATCCTTTCGTTTTACTTTTTCGATAAAAATCGAGAGTACACATTTGTTTTATCTATTCTTTTATAAAATCCAGATCACTGATATATTGAATTTGAAATATTGGAATTAATGATTATACAATTTACGATAGATAATAGAAGAGTAAAGAAGTAGAAATTTAATTCGTATTTTCACGCGATAAAGGATTCGTTAAATATTTTTGTCATGTCGGATAAATGTGAAAGAACATTCGATTATCATGAGATCACATTGTGAACTCGGCGAAGAGATATCATGTGGGTTTTCGGGGCACGTTGATTTTGTCCGACTTTCTAGAAAATATGTCAGATCGGACTCTGAGCTAGATTGATTTGTTAGAAAAACTAAATAGTTTTGAAAAAACGTTGGAAATCATATCCTTTAATCACATCGATCGATTTCAGGACCGTCAACTAAATTTGTAATAAATTGGCTTATTCATATTTCCTTTCCCTCTCTCTTTCTCTCTCTTTCTTTCTCTCTCTCTTAATAATAAATCTTCACACAAAGAATATTCCTAGATTAATTGGATCGATTATCGCTAAAATCTTATTTTTATTTGAAAAAATCGCACAGTATTATATATACTGTAAATAAACTTAATATCGTTAGAATGGATTAGTTATTAAATATCAAAAAGTAAATTAATCATAATATTTTATCAATTATCTACTTACGCAAATTAATTAAAAGAACACGTAAAAATTAATGTTACTTGAAATTAATACAAACAAGTTCCTGCCTACAAATATTTTTTCCACGATCGAAGTAATCCTCTCGATCTTCATCAGAATAGAAAAGACGAGTGATGATTATCGGATGTTAGTAGCATGCAAGACATAAAGAAGTCGAATGTTATCGACTGACGTCAATTTTTTAATGTTTTTTTCAAACGAACAAAAACAGGCGGAGAGAAATAAAGAAAAAGACCGGTTCGTAAGTGATGCAAAGCAACGCTGGTGTATTCAAGAGTGAAGAGATCTTTCAGAGACTCTTGATACTTGTCGAAAAAGTTTCTTTTCCTGTTTAAAAATCTCAAGGTATCGAGTAAAAGTTGTTGTATTTTGTTTTTGATCTTATCGAAAATACGTATCTACTAATTCATCGTTACCGATAAATCATGCTAAAAAAGTATTTAAACTCTTTAAAATGTTCAAACTACGTTGTAAAACGCTCTGAAAAATTCTTTCTTTGACTTTCGTGACTCCTTTTAGGTGCACGATTCCTACCTTGCTGATTTAATGCGAATAAACTCACAGCCCGCAAGATGTTTTTACGAGCGAAAGAGAGGATTTTCGTTGAAAAGGCAGCCGATAGAAATAGATATCCGTATTCATTTAATTTATTACGATATTTCGTTAGTCGGAACGTCCAAGTTTTTGAAATAAATTAAATAAATTTCTGGAGAAAAAGTTGAGGGATGAGAAGGGTTAATCGGGTTTCAACGAAACTTTCCCACAAGAAAAAGTTATCGCGGTAAGCATCTAATAAGCGCGATTCTATAAAAGGAAAGTCATGAAGTTGAGTCTTCAAAGAAATACCTTTACGAAAGTTAATAGCAGACCGTTGTTTCGACGAATTTACTTTTATAGAACTCGAGATGTAGAGACGTTTCGTCTCATTGTCAGTTTTTCGATTTTTATCCTTCTAGGTAAGTTTATTCCTATATTTTCCTATTTTTTTTTTTTTAAGCAATCGCTTCGACCGCGCGACGAAATCTTTTAATAGGATTAAACTATAATACGATTAGTACGTTGGTTTGTGATTAATTCCCGAAGAATGGACTCGAAAATCTTTCAGTCGAGAGCCGATAATTTTCGAGAAAGAAACTCGATATAAAATCGATTTTTCGATCGACATGGATATCTCTCTCATAAATAAGATGTTGCAAAATCTATTTTTACGAGGGTCGACGAGATACGATCGTTCTTCTTGAAATTCCACTTATACACGGAACGATCTAAGAGAGACGTATTCTGACGAGAAATCTCTACGAGTCTGTGATTTTCGAGACGAATTAATGGTATGCGACGAAAAAAAACGTATCGTCGCAGCTATCAATTTTGGTCTTTGGTTTACGAGCGGCGAGTTCTGATACAGCCACGCTACCATCTCGCCGCTTGACAAACGTTATTGGATTTCTGCGAAAGAGGGTCGGTCGTCGACCGTCTTCGAAAAGAATACAGTGAAGAAGACTAATCTGCGAACGATTGTTACTTCATTATTCGATCTATTTTTTCGCATCGTCGCTTCTTAACGGTTTAAATTTTATTAAAGACTTTTAAAAAAGGCTACCTATTTTCGAAAAAGACTAAAGTACGATGTTCATTACGTTTGATATTCTACTCAAAAGTTTTCGTAAATGTCTCGAAAATGTTTGAAAGAGCTCTTATTCTTTATTTCAATACTATTTTCGATTGCTTACAACTGTTGCTCATTCTGTAATGCTGAAATTCTAATTTATAGTTTATTAGATAAATATAAATCCATCCTAAGATTTATCGATTCATTGATTTCCGGCTAAAGGTTGCTTATATCTATATTGGAGAAATGTATTCGTTACATAGTAACTCGAATAAAAGACAGTTCGATAATAAAGAAAGGAAAAGCAACTCATAGCGAGAGTAATATAATTCAGCAGCATTTCTCATTTAAATATCGTTACAAGTATCTTTATCATAGATCATTTTCAATTTTTATCGAACTTTTCTCTTTTCTCTCTCTCTCTCGCTCTCTCTCTCTCTTTCTTTCTTTGGTTACTTCCATCTCCATTATCTAGGAAATGTAATTCGACATCGTCTATTGATATTTCATCGACTACGGAATTAACGTTTCTATTATTGGTTCTCCTAGAAATTAAATACACGTTTAATGGTAGTACTAGTCGTGGTGTTCTAGGCAAAACGAAGAAAAGGTTGAAATCAAGTAAAGAGAGAGAGAAAGAAAAAGAGAGAGAGAGAAAGAGAGAAAGAGAGAGAGAGAGAAGAAACTAGTGGTAGCTTTCAAATCAATTAGATAATTATGTTGAGCGACGGTTTTAATCGAAATATCTCATGGTTGTTCGAAGATACGGTCGAAAAGGCGAAAATCAAAAAAAAAAAAAGAGAGAAAAATGAGAAAGAGAATGGGATTGAGAAGAATGGAAGCAAGATTTTGTAGCTATTCCTGAGCGAAGAACCTCATCAAGCTTTTTACTCGATCTCACTCTGTTAACGGGAAAGGATGTTCTTCGATTATTTAAGCTCTATGTCAATTACACATCGAAGTATTTCGAAGCGATTTTTACGATTTCCATCTCCTTTCTATTAAGTGTCTTTCTCTTTCTTGAACATAATACGAAGAAAGCAGAGAGAGAGAGAGAGAGAGAGAGAGAGAGGGAGAGAGAGAGAGAGAGAGAGAGAGAAGAAAAGAAAGAGATTTAATTTACTTGATGTCCTATATTGTTAAAAGTATCTATTCCCTTGGTTGTTTAGAAACAACTGTAGTAATTGCGGTGGATCAGATATATGCGTTTATAATTCATTTTATTTTAATTAATCTAATATGACTGTAAATCGTTAACAGTAACGTTTATGGAAATAGGAGTTTGAACGAACAATATCAACCAATCGAATTTCTTCGATTATTAACGACATATCTTTGTATCTTCCTTGAAAAAAATAAAATACATGTTCCTTAGATACTTTAAAAATAACATTTAGGATTTGCAAGATGTAGAGGTACTGCTTTAAGAGGTAATATTGATAGATTTTTCTTATAGCAATTTTATTAAATATTTATTTATGTTAACAGACCACATGAAATGACGCATTTAAGATAACGCTGGTAATTCATTAAATCTTATTATTTAGAATTCTCTAATCTATTAAAGATATATATATTCTATAAATGTTTTTTATTTTACAATTTTGTTGGTTCTTCCTTTAAGGTATTTGAGCTTTTGACGAAGACAGCTGCATTCAGAATAGTTTTATAAGTTTGAGATAAATCTACTAAGAAACTGGATTGAAAAGTTATGTGTTTATTACGAAAGATTATGTAAGATAAAATTCTGAAGATATCAAAAAGTGTCTCACGAAATTCTTTCGGACCAATAACTATTTGAAAAATAAACGTCTGAGGAAACCGATATAAAATCAATCTATATAAAAAGAGAGTTATTCGGTTTAATGAGAAACTTTTCGAACGCAAAGTTAGTCGGTTTTTCCCCCTTCCTTGAATTTTTTAAGCCTCCTCTCATTACGGATTCCATTGTTATATCCGGTCTTCCATCGGGATCTCGAAAAAGAAAGAGGAAGAAAAAGAGAAGGCAGGTGATCGCACGGGACAAAATGAAAGTTTCATTTGATGAACGAAGGAAAGAGATGGCCAACACTAGGAGGGAGAGCGAGGAAAAGACAGACTATCGGAGGAGTACCCAGAAAAAGTAATTGCTACGGCGATCCGATCGCCGTGAAAGACTAGACCGTAAAATTTTAATCGAGCCACTTTATTCACAAGACCTTGCCTCGTAATCCCTAAAACTTAGAAGAGAAAGAAAGAAAGAAAGAGAGAGAATGAGAGATGTCGGAGAGTCGGAAGATGGTGTACAGTCATGGCGAAAAGTGGTAAAAGCGGGTCGTTAATCATGCTTCCCTCTTTCACTATCCCTTTCTCTCTTTCTCTCTCTTTCTTCTTTCTTTCTTATCTTTAACAGCGTCCTCCGCGTTCGCTCGAATTCATCTCGCAATTTGAGATCAAACAAACGGAAATAACGATCCTCTTGCTTAAGTATGGCCGACTAATCCCTAAGAACCTTTGTAGTATTCTGAAAAGTGAGAAAATGAAGAAACGAGACAAATTTATCGCGTTTTAAGTCTTATCGATCGAAATTGCCAAGATTATAAACATAGCAAGTAACGGCCATTATTTAGAAACAAAATAAAAAAT